GAACTGGACATTCACAGTAGTTTTTCTTTCTTTATGCCACTAGTTATAATGTTCTCAGCTTTACAATCTATAAAGTTTCATAGCAAAGCTAAATCTTGGTCCTATAAAAAGAATGGCAAAAGCAGTCATGCTTCTAAAATCCGTTTGGCTTCTAAAATTCAACGGGTACACATAAATGCCCCTAATCTCTGATGTGATCTATTTCCCCAAAAAGTTTGGGGAAGGTTAGTCAAGGCTGAGACAGCTTTGGGAGCTCTGTTTCATTGTTTGCTTTTTTGTGGAGCTGGAGATTAAACCCAGGGCCTTTGCATCAAGCTATAACCTTTCCCTATTTGTTCCTTTGAGATAGGGTTTCACCAAGTCACTAAGTGCCCAGGCTGGGCTTGAACTGGTGATCCTCTTGCATCGGCCTCCAATGTGCTGAGAGTACAGGTCTACCACCATGCCTGGCTTTTTTCTTTTAACTAGAAAGCAAAGTTCTTTGTGTAGAGTTTTATTTGGAGTCAGCTTGTGAGAAACACATGCCTCCTATGGTTCAGAAGAATGAATGGTTTAGTCAAACATTAGCCTTTTTACGACTTTGTGGAGAAACTGCTTAGAATTATTCTTTTTCTTCTCCTTTCCATGAATATATCATGCATCATTACCAAAGGCTGAGTGAATTTGCACCGATCCAAAGGAGCTCTACTGCCTGTGAACAAGTCGTCCTTGTACAATTCTGTCCCTCGCCTGTAACTTCTTTATCTCACATCTCAGCAAATACAGTATGATTTCTCCAATAGAACTGGCTCCGGATAGCACCATTCTGCCGGCTATTTATCATACAATCTGTAATTGAATTACCTATTGCAGTAATGGGATTTACTCTCAAATGTACATAAAAGTGCAACATAAAATAAGGTTATTGCAGTGTCTGCTTCCTCGTTATTCTGCACGAAGGGGAGCAACTCTACAGAACTGCAGCAACAAGTAATGAATGAAAGCCAGGGGAAGACAAATGATTCCGGGCTTGGCAACCAAAAAAAAATAAATTCATCCGCTTAGAAATGTGTTCTTTTTCAACATAGCTTATGTTTTCTATGTTAATCAGAAAGGCAATTCTAGTCCATGTGGAGAAAGGGTAAAAACGGAATGATTTCACTTTTCCATATTCAGGCTAATGTACTTACACTGCCACACATCTCACAGCTTATCAGAGGAAAATAAAATACGCTCATCTTTCTTTGCTCTTGTCAAACAATGATTAATCTTGGATTAAAAAAAAAAAAAGAAGAAAACGAAAGATCACAGCAATTCCTTTGGGAAAATGCAGTTTTCGTGAGCCTACCGTTCCAGTAGTCCTATTTTAGCTGTTGTGCTCCAGCTGAAATACAGCTGGGCCTTGAAGCCGCCTGGCTTCACAATTCCCAGTGACGTGGACAGCCAGATTTCCTGAGTGCTAGAACCTTTTAGATGGCAAAGACTGTATCAGTATCCATATGTTAAGATAAGTACACACTATCCAGTGCCTTCTCTTGAATGAACTTTTGCCCCTTGATTTGCTCTGTTTTTTGTTTTGTTTTGCAGAACTGGGGATTGAACTCAGGCCCTTGTGCTTGCCAGGCAAGCGCTTATTCTACTGAGCCATCTCCGCAGCCCTTGATTTGCTCTGTTGGACTTAAACACTGAATAAAACAAATTTGGAGGTGGCCCACTGTAAGCATCATCTAGCTTTCTTTAATCTTTTTCATCCTTTCTTGCTATCAGAAGTTGATTCTTATTCATCTGGTCAACCAGTGACTGGAAGTTTCAGCAGCAAAATAAGTGAAACATGAAGGATAGCAATGGCTGCTTTTGCAAACTGCTCTCCAAAGAGTTGGCTGACACCTGCTGAACTGAGATACCATGATGTTGCTGGTCCGCAGCCTGCCTGCCACCTAGAGCAGAACATTTCTACAGGGCAGAGCAGTGACAAAAACCCATCACTTCAACCAGCCGTCGGCATCCCAATTTAGCAAGATTGCTGGACACATATTTGAAAATGATTATTTTGCCCACGGCATTAGTCGAAACAGTGTAAACAACTTAAAATATTTACATCTACTCAATCCAGGAGCCACAAAAAATAGCTAAATCTATATAAAGATCTGCAAACAGGTCCAGGTGAGTGGAATTGTACAGGGTTTCCATTTAGACACCTTACATTTTGTTGCAACTAAATTTGTTAGACACAGTCATATACATTTTAAACATTATTGAATGCTAAACGTAAAAACTCTTCACCTTAAGATTATAATTATATCCAAAGCAATTTGTCTAGGTAACTATAGCAACAATTTCAGAAACATTTTAAACACAAATTTGGTATAATTTTAGAATCAAGAGTTATAGAGAATTTAACGCAGACTGTAGGGATGTTTTTTCTTAAATAGCTTTACATGCACTACTGTAATGAGATTACTTGATTGGGGTTTATTAACAATTATTAATTTGTTCTGTCTTGCAGGATGTATGATTTACAATTCAAACTCTCTTCCTCGGAGTCTCCGAGGGCTCTAGAGCTGGTGATCACTTGTTTGTCCAACAGGACGAGTTTCTCTCTAGTGGGACATTTAGAAAGCCCCTCCCTTTTCTTGAAGCAGGGGCAAAGCCTTAATTGTAACGCCTTTTCCAAAAAGGAAATCTGGAATCATTAAAAATAATTACCAAGTTCATTAAAACTACACACTGGCTCAAATAAGCCGTTCTCTGTGACATCACACGTATCTGACATGGTTCCCAAGGAGATGGCATCTATTTTAAGCAATTAGTACACAACACAAAGGTCTTTTGCTTTTAACATTCGCCCTCCCCAGCATGAGGTTAAAGAGAATCGTAAGAAAAACTTCATACAGCAAAGACATAGACAGGGCTTCCCAGGGCCCATAAGCTGCTAAAACTTCTGGAAAAGCTCACAAAATCATTCTTATCCTCCTCTTAGTCTCCTTGTCAGTAAATTTTAACAGCCTCTACACTCTGTCTATTTCACTCTTTCCAGACATAGTGAAGAAATCTTTTGAAAGGAAAACAGCAGTGAACAACTTTGGTTTATATTTACCAAATTCTGAACATCTCAAAAACTTCCTTTAGACAGAGAAAAACTTCCCCCAACCCCCAAGAGACCAAAGTCACAGCTTGCAGCAGGGAAATTACAGCTGTTTGCCATTAAAACCACCAAACAAGTTAGTGCAATTCATAAAAGGCACAAAATGATAAGCATCGTCCATCCTGTCCGGGTGAGGAAGAATCTATGTTGTAATCTGAGGTGCAGGAGTTTTCATCTCCACAGCCTGAGAGATGAGAAAGTGACTACAAACAGCACCGGGGATAAGTTGCCTCCTTCAAAGTTTTTACAGAAAAAAGCTTGGGGGTGGGGGAAGGGGGGAAGTGGACTAACCCCATTTAGGATTGCTGAAACCGAAAACAAAGCTGCAGAAACGGGCTGTGTGTTGGGGGTCATTGGTTCTCTAAGTAAATAGGAACACAGAGAAGGAAAACAATGTCACAGATCGCTGAAGGTACAACATGCTCTGGAATGCCAACTGTGAAGGCGTCCCTCACTAAAACACTGGGTAAGCGTCACTTCCAAAATAATGAAGGTGGCATTCATTAGCAAACAGTCGAATATTAAGTATATTTTTAAAAAATCATCCCTATGAAAGATTTTGTGGTTTTGCCTTTCGCTTTATGAAAGACTAACTCCGTAATTAATAGCAAACACTTGCGTTCTGCCCAAACTCAGCCATTAAGAGGGAGTTCTTTGCTCAGCTGTTTTTCTTAAGAATAACTGCAGCAAACTTGTAATTCTTGGTGGTTTTCGAATACATTGCTAGAAGCAGTCTGGATCTCTCTCTGCATAAACACAAAGGTCCCAGAGAGAAAGGCAGGGTGCACAGGAGAATTTGCAGGCACATTTGTCGCTAAAGAGCCCTTTCTAGTAAGAAGACCTGAGGCCGGCTTTCCGGTCCCTTCCTCTTCTAGAAAGGCCAAGAGGTCGCCACGGTGAGCACACGGGCTGCTGCACCCTCCACCCGGACAAGAAACCACTGCACGACTCGCCCCTGCGGCCGGCACCCTCACCCGCGCGGGGCAACCAGGCTTCGGCTCAGAGCCCTCGCTCTCAGCGCCCCCTGCCGGGCATCCCTGGGACGCCGCTGGCGCTGGAAAGTTAGCACCAACTCCGGGAAGCCTCCTCCAGGTACAAAGCAACCGGGCGAGAGGAGGTGCACACGCGCTTCCCGCCAAAGCCCGGGCACTCGGGTTCTGTGCACGCTAGGCCTTACAGTGGGCGCCGCAGAGAGCGATTCTGGGTATCGATCGCTCCTGGACCACAGTGCACCACATATCTCGGAAGGCACCGTTCCCCGCGGTGCCCGGATCTGCCTCTGACTCCAAAATACTAAACCAAGGGATGGGCGACCCGTGGAGTAGCCCGAGATGCCAGTGGAAAGGGGCTTGCCCGGCCCAGGCCACTTGGCGAGCGCCTTTGTGCTCCGCATCCCCGCCTGGGACTCCCTCGTTAACCAGAGCGCTCCGCTGAGTTGTGCCCAAGTCCCAGAGGCTCCGGATTTCTCGCCACAAGGCCCAGCGAGGCGGGCTAGCAGACCTACCCTGGCCGGCTCCCATCCGGGACTGAGCGGCCGGCCGCGGTCTGCAGCCCACGGTTCCCGAGGCGAGCCTGCCGCGAGACCTCTCCACGCCCGCCTCTGAGGCGCCGGGCACGGTCCCGCGTTTGCGCGCAGCAGGCCCGGGCTTTCGCGCTCCAGCCTCCGCAAGCTCAGCCCTCATTCAGCCAAAGAGAGGGCGCAAACTTCCAGCCCAGGGCGGGCGCCCCGCACTGACCGGGTCAGACCTGATCCCACGGAGCAACCCCCTGGTTATGACCCCCAGGGGCGCCCACGGCGACCACCCCGGCGTCGACTCCCCCACAGCCGCCCGCGCTGCCCCGTGCTGGCTCCCGCCACGGCCACCAGCTGGCTCACCAGGTGCGGGGCGCGCTCCTCGTCCAGGCATCAGCGCGCGGTAACGCGGAGGGTCTTTTCAGCCCCCGCCGGGGAAGTCCAGGCAGCCTCCGCACTGCTCCGGGCCGTCTCCCCAGGGCCGTCCCCCACGCCCCACGCGCAGTGCGCGCCGGGCCGGGGACCGCTGGAGTCCCCAGACCCTCGGCGGGTAGATCGGCTCCCACCGAGTGAGAGTGATGGACCAGGCGGCAAAGTTGGATGCCCCGGCCGGACCTGCGGGGGCCACAGGGAGCAACCCTCGGTAGGGGCAGGGGAGGCTGGGACGTCCACGGAGTCTGGGCCGCGGCGGCAGAACCCACGCGCGGCGAGAAAGCAGCACGCGAGCGGTCGCAGCGAGAAGAGCAGCCGCCGGCGGCGCCGCCTTCCCGGCGAGTGCTGCTAGCCGGGCACCGGGCGGGGCGCTAGGCCGACGAGCCCCGCCCCCGACGAG